GACCTGGAAGCCTCCAGTGATAACTGTGCCTCTGTGGAAGCCCACGGTTTCAAAGTGTGGCCCCATCCCAGGAGCCTCTCAGGTTGAAGAAACAGCCGTTAATAAATCACTGACTTTTCACTGGACTCAGGGTAGGCAGAATGAAGTATCTGCCTTTCTTTGCTTCAAAAGCACATTAGTCTCTCCTGTTCTGCATCTGCCTCAAGAAAGTCCACAGGGTCTGAGACCCATCAGACACCTCATTTGTTCATGATACCCAAGAGACGCGCTTATAATGAGAATGTGCACAGACTACGTATAGGTCCAAACACATACTCACATCTCATATTCCAAAACATGACTGGGAGACATGAATACACTGAGGTGTCAAAAGGAATGGTCTGTTGCCCAGGCTGGAGCGCAGTGGCATCATCTCAGCTCATCGCAACCTCTGCCTACTGGGTTCAGGCGATTCTCCTGCCTCAGCCTCTCGAGTACCTGGGACTACAGGCACGCAGCACCAAGCCCAGCTAAATTTTTTGTATTTGCTGTCGAGAGAGGGTTTCACCATGTTGGCCAAGCTGGTATCGAACTCCTGCCCTCAGGTGATCCTCCTACCTCAGCCTACCAAAGTGCTGGGATTACAGGTGTGAGACACCGCGCCCGGCCCGTTTATGCCTTCTTACTATTACTTTGAATGGCTCTATCATTCATATTTAAGTCATAGCATTTAACTTCATGCAAACTGGAATCCTCATGTATATATTTTGTTCTTTTTTTCTTTCCTTTTTGTGGAGAATGGAGTCTTACTTTGTTCCCAGGCAGGTCTTGAACTCCTGGGCTCGAGCGATCCTCCTACCTTGGCCTTCCAAAGTGTTGGGATTACAGGTGTGAACCACTGTGCCTGGCCCCATATTGTTTCCGAATACAGCTGGACTGTAGCTTTCCAAAAGGATTGCACTGGTTGACACTGATTCATAAAACTCTCTTCAACTCAAATAGTGATGGCAGACATGTATTTGTCTGCTTGGGCTGTCATCCTAAACACCACAGGCTGGAAGGCTGAATCAACAGGGATTTATTACTATTTTCTCCCTGTTCTGGAGGCTGGAAGTCAGAGTGGGTTCCACGTGAAGCCTCTCTTCCAAGCTTGTAGATGGTTGCCACCCTGCTGTATCTGCACCTGCACATGGCCTTTCCTCTATGTGTGCACAGAGAGGAAGCAATCTCTGTGTGCCTAGCTTTCTCTCTTTTTTTCTTTTTGAGACAGAGTCTTGCTCTGTCACCCAGGCTGGAGTGCAGTGGTGCGATCTCAGCTTAACACAACCTTCACCTCCCAGGTTCAACTTATTCTCTTGCCTCTACCTCCTGAGCAGCTGGGATTAGAGGTGTCTGCCACCAGTCCTTGCTAATTTTTTGTAATTTTTAGTAGAGACAGGGTTTTGCCACCAATCCTTGCTCTCTTTTTCTAAGACAGGATCTTGCTGTGTCACCCAGGCTGGAGTGTGTGGTGTAGCACAGCTCACTGCAGCTTTGACCTCCAGGGCTCCTCATCCTCCCACCTCAGCCCCCCAAGTAGCTGGGACTACAGGCACATACCACCACACCCAGCTAATTTTTAAATTTTTTGTAGAGATGAGGTCTAGCTGTTTCCCAGGCTGGCTCTTGGGCTCCAGGGATCCTCCCGCCTCAGCCTCCTAATGTGCTGGGTTACAGGTGTGAGCCACCTTGCCCAGCCTCTTTTCTTACAAGGACACCACTCCTATTGGATGAAGGTCCCATTCCAACGACCTCATTTAGCCTTATTTACCTCCCTAAAGGCTTTATCTCCAAATATCATCAGATTGTGGATTACGGTTTCAACATACGACATTTAGCAGGGGACACAATTCAGCTCCTAACAGAGGGTCATTGAGCATTTTCCCATTGAAATGTATTCCCACCTTTCCAGGTTTCCATCTCTCATCTGCTTTTCCTATTTACGTAGCACACAGCTACCTTCCCACACCCTATATAAACCCGCCCTGAACTCTAGCCTTCTTCACTGCCATCCTGCCTAGGGCTTTTCCTTGCTCTCCAGAGAGTCTGTGTCCTTTTGTACACATCTCACCCTGCCAACTCCACTGGACAGACCTGAGCCTCTCTCTCGTGCCTCACCCCACCTGTCTTTCTTGACAGTCCATGTTGCTGCACTTCTGTATGGGAGCTGAGACCCATTGCCTCAAATGCCTCAACCAGCCCTGCTGCCCCTGAGGTTAACAAGTGGGGATATCTAGCTGTTATTTTTGTCTCTATCCACCATAAAGCATCCATTTGTGCTCGTTACATCCTGGTAGGAAAACAGCAAACAAATCCCCAAACCTCAATCGGTTCATTTTTGGTAGTGGTTTGGGAAAAGAAATTCTGAAACTACATTAGAGTTATCTTAATATTCATCAAAGTAGTAAAATGCTGAATTTTGGGATGCCAGGGTTCTCAGTGTTAAAGACAAGACATACAAATATAGGCTGGAGGAACTCATCAATTGCGTGGGTCTTACTGGGCATGTATGTGTCTGCACAGACACACCTCTGAGTGTGACCCATGTGCAGTCATATATGCACATGTATTTCATAGCTCAGCAGAAGACACCTCACCTGGCACCTAGATCTTGGTCTCTAATGCCATTACCCAGTAAATGGAACTAGTTCTTCAAAGACATGGCCAATTTCAGGGCGGAGGAAGGGAAGAAAGATGGGCTAGGAACATCCTACTGCACCAAAAAGTAAGTGCTAAAAACAATGGAGGCGTGTCACAAGGACGCGGGAGTCAACTGAAGGGAGTCTCACTGGCTCACCCAGGACAACCTGAGCAGCAAGTTATAAACCACTGAATAAACAAATCCTGGAGTCAAATTCTTAAGACAAAAAAAGTGTTGCGGAGAAGGAAGAGTGATGGTTGGCAGTAGGATGCTGAGGGCCTGCTGGTCAGCATGGAGGGAGGGCTGGTGCTGGAAAATCACCACCCTGGTAATAATGGATTCAGGCAAGAATCATAAATGTAAACCAAATTTAGGGAGAAGTTTTGATGAGGAGCAGGATATTTGCATTATATATTTTCTTTTTGCAACTGAAGATCATTGATATTTCCATGATCTTAAAGTATCTTCCCACCAGTTCTTTTTTTTTGAGCCAGATTCTCACTCTGTCACCCAGGCTGGAGTACAATGGCACAATTTCGGTTCACTGCAACCTCTGCCTCCTGGCGATTTTCCTACCTCAGCCTCCTGAGTAGCTGGGATTACAGGCACACGCCACCATGACCAGCTAATTTTTGTATTTTTAGTAGAGATGGGGTTTCACCATGTTGGCCAGGCTGGTCTCGAACTTCTGACCTCAGGTAATCCTCCCACCTCGGCCTCCCAAAGTGCTGAGATTGCAGGCGTCAACCACCATACCCGGCTCTTCCCACCAATTCTTATTAGTTAAAAGGAGAAAAAGTTAACTATATTATTTTGAGACAAGGTCTGTCTCCCAGGCAGGAGTGTAGTGGCTTGATCTCGGCTCACCACAACCTCGACCCCCCAGTCTCAAGCCATTCTCCCACCTCAGTCTCCCAAGTAGCTAGGAGTACAGGTATGCTCCACCATGCCCAGCTTGAGCCTCCCAGTGCTGAGATGACAGCTGTAAGGCTTTGCATGTGGCCCAGTTAACTATACAGTGGAAAACTGCACTCTGACCAGGTGAGCAATGAGAACATCACTGACAGAAGGAATGTGGACACCGTACAGCCTGGATGGGGTGGGGGAAGGTGCACACATGCAGGCCATGGGGTAAGCAGGGTCGAATGGTAATAGGTGGGTCTGGGTGAAGCTGTGTGGAGGATCTGTGCATTATTTTAATTCTTGTGCCTTTTGAAGAATATGTAAGTTATTTCCAAATTTAAAAAAAAGGCATAGACATCTGGCTGCACACTAAATGAGACAGGAAATGGGAAACTCAGGATGGAGGGCAGGGCTCTAAATAACAAATGACCATCACCTGCAGCCTGAGAGCTGACTGGGACACATCACAGGGGATGCTCCCTGTGGCAATGCAAGAAGGTGAGCTCACAGGTTCAGCTGAGAATGAGTTGAGAGGGCGGAATTTAGCCTTTTTCTTACCAGAGCCACACTCAGATTGGGGCTTGGGGTGGACAGGCTAAGAGGGGAACTAAGCTTAGTAACTGTTGCAGAGACGGGCACTCCAGGTGACAGTTCCCAGGCCCAAGTGACTGGGGCCATGGAATCATTTCTCTCCAAGGATATGTGAGTAGTGTGTCATCTCCCAGGTGAACAGGTGTGGCCTTCCCCACATGCTCCAGGGGTACAGTGAAGAATGTAGCTACAAAGGGGATGGAACCTGGATCCCTGAATCACTGCATGGAGCAGAGTGCAAACCAATATATAAACAACAGCAACACTAACAGGACAATGGACTGTGAGAGCATGTGTGTGTGTGCGCGTGCATATGTATACATATATATATATATATATATATATATATGTATTTTTTTTTTTTTGAGATGGAGTCTCATACTGTTGCCCAGGCTGGAGTGCAGGGGTGAAATCTCAGCTTGCTACAACCTCTGCCTGCCGGGTTCAAGTGATTCTCCTGCCTCGGCCTTGTGAGTAGCTAGGACTATAGGTGTGCGCAACCGTGCCTGGCTAATTTTTTGTATTTTTAGTAGAGAGTGGGTTTCACCATATTGGCCAGGCTGGTCTTGAACTCCTGACCTCGTGATCCATCCACCTCAGCCTCCAAAATTGCTGGGATTACAGGTGTGAGCCTTCACACCTGGCCCATGAATAAATATTTACGTTAAGTCTTTGTGATTTGGGGGTCATTACAAGAGACCACCTGCTTGAACACAGTGGCAGAAAAGAGGCACCAGTTTCTGTATCTATAGGGAGTGATTAAGTTTATGCGCAGGCAATGGGAATAATACTGTAGTCTGAGAATAAATGCAGTCAATCAAAAGATCACCTTACGTAGCCCAAAGAGTTTAGTCTCTTTTGCTCAGACAGACAGATCTTTATTGGTGTTTTCAACCATTTTGATTACAACTTCCCAGCAAGAAATGCGTCTCACATTGCAACCAGTTCTCTTATTTAGGTGTATGGCTGAAAAGTTCACAAAACAGTATTTGCCTTACTACATGATGCATTCTAGCCTGTTTTATTCTGCCTCATTGCTGTGCAATGCTGGTGGCCACCTGATCATTGATTTCACAATTTATTAACGGGCTGGGACCCACGGTCTGAAAACCCTGTCTTAGGCTGCAAGCATTTCTGCTATCTCTGAGAGCTACTCCACACAGGTAAAGACACGTGAGGTAAACTAGGAAACAGCTTCTGCTTTTGCAGATTAGAAGTGAACTTCGACATCACGCAGGGAAAAGGCTAAACAGATGACAAAATTTCCACTTGAGCAATCCTGGGGAGCGCAAACAGGAGGAATCAGGGCAAGGGTGACTTCAAGAAAGCACTGGCAGATCACGCACTTTAAGGCAACTCTACACTGCACAATGTCAAATAACCTAGCATGGGGCGGCACTAAATGGCTGCAGGAAAGCGGAGTCTTCTTCCACATCCGGCGGCTCCCCTCGGATGTGAGCACTGGCCCAGGGTGTGTTTACAAAGAGGTGAGGGCTTCCCGTGGATCCTTGTTGGGAGCGCTTAGCCTCAGGAGCTGATTCAGGGCACAGGCAGATGACGTCCACAGACACCACAGGAAGCCGCCACCCAGGGGCGTGGAAGGGCCTGATAACTCTTTTGGGATTCTCGGCTGGCAGGGTGGTCCCTCCGGGACAGCACAAGCGGCTCACCTCTGCGCCTCTGGGGGTGCGGGGAGAGCCTCACCCTCCCTGCTCTCTGGGGGCCCGCCCACCCTTGCCCCCACCTGGACTTCACGGGTGGGCGGGTAGGGGCCCAGGGTGCCACCCAGCACGTAGCCTTTCTCCTTCTCGTGGGTCTTCTGGTGCTCTGCCAACGCCAGGCTGAAGTGGAAGGTCTTCCAGCAGCCCTGACAGGCATAGCGCTTCCGGCCGCTGTGGCTGCTGTGGTGCTCCATGAGGTGCGAGAGCCACGCAAAGGCCTCCCCACACTCGCCGCAGGCATAGGGCTTCCCTCGGGACAAGCCCGGCTCATCAGCCCCTGGGCCCTGCCCTGCCGTGAGCCCCGTGCTGTGGCTGGTGCTGGAGACACCCTCAAGGCTCTGCCCATCCCCATCCTCGGGGTGTGGCCTCTTTGTTCCCAGCCTTGCCGCACCCCTGTCCAGGGCTGGCTGCCGGATGACTGACTGCCTCTGCGCTCCGGAGGCAGAGCCAGACTCTGCGTCCTGGGGGTCCTGGGGGTCCTGAGGGTCCTGGGGGTCCTGGGGATCCTGGGGGTCCTGAGGGTCCTGGGGGTCCTGAGGGTCCTGAGGATCCTGGGGGTCCTGAGGGTCCTGAGGATCCTGGGGGTCCTGAGGGTCCTGAGGGTCCTGGGGGTCCTGAGGGTCCTGAGGGTCCTGGGGGTCCTGAGGGTCCTGAGGGTCCTGGGGGTCCTGAGGGTCTGGGGCCTTCCCAGGCTGCTCTTCCTCTTCCTCAGCGGTGCTGGACAGGGGCTCTGCAAGGGCATCCCCTGGGGGCGCCTCCGTAGGCAGCTCCTGCGTGGGGGCAGCCTCCTTGCAGGGGCACCCAGCACTCTCCTGACGCCTCCTGCCTTCTGGAACCAGGTCAGAGCCACAGCGTGAGTGGCCCTGCCAGGGCCCTGGGGTGGAGGACTCAGTCGAGCCTCAGCCACTGAACAGGGCACAGGGGTCCATGCTCTGGACCCCCACGGAGCTCAAGCTCACAGCTGTTTGGAAGCACTGCTGTCCCTCCCAGGTTGCCTGGAAGCGCACTCCCCATGCCTGCTGCTTTGTGTGGGACCTGGAGGCCTCCAACAACGGATGCGACCAACAGGACAGGAAGGACAGCCACACTGAACACAGGCGCTGGAAACCGTGCCTGGAGGTCTACACCCTGGCCACTAGCTTGGCCACAGATGCACGATGCAAGCAGAGCCGACTCAGAACGCACCCTCTTGGAGGGCTCCCTGGGGACCCGCTGCCAATGCAGGGCCAAAAGATATGGCCAAGTCCCCCAGCAACAACCCCCTGGTGACAGGCACCCGGGGCCCTCCAGCCCAAGTCCAATCTAGGTGTTCTCATTTGTGTGCTAACGAGAGCCTCCAATGGGGCAGAACGGCCACCCCTGGGACCAGCCACCCACAAATCCTGGCAACTAACATCGCTGCTGCTTCTGCTGACCAAGACTTGGGGTGGTCTGTCATGCAGCAAGATAGGATGGACGTAACTGGATTCCTGCCTCAGTCTGACATGGTGGCGGGAAAATGGTGAAGCAGCCATTACTGAGGGCTTTGCTAGGACTGATGGCACCATGTGGGACCCCCTCTGCCTCTGAAGAAAAAGTGAACCCTACCGGCCCCAACACCAATACAACCCAACCTCACCTGGAAGGCTGCTTCCTTGTGGATCTCTTTCCACCAACCGGAGCTCCTCAGTGTCCAGCCTGGAGGCAGCGTCAGGCTGGGAAAGCTGATACCCTGAGTGGGGTTAAAAACCAAATAAGTAAAAGAGGCACCAACACAAACTAACTAATGGTCCTGATGTGTCGTGGGCCAGCCAGGGCAGGCTGCAGCCCACCTCCTCTCCTCTGCACTGGGACCCCCACCAAAGCCAAGTCCCTGTCAGGCCATGGACAGTGAAGCAAAGATGGCAAGGCTCGAAGGGTGGCAGAGCAGGCGGAGGCAGGACTCGGAAAGCAAAGCCAAAGAGGTGACATGAAGAGTCTGAGCGGAGGGCCTCCTTGCAAGGAGGGTTTCTGGGGCTAGAACGTCTAGGAAAGAAGAGGCCCTTCAGCACACCATGCAGGCGAGGCTGTCTCTGACAGGGAGGGTGAGAATGTCAGCGCCTTGTGGCCGGGAGGCCTTGCGAAATTCCAGGGCTTCAGTCCTACAGGCAGGGCCAGGGCAAAACTCAAGATGTTTAGACCAGAAAAAGTGGGGGCTTTGGCAAATAAATTCAAGCTCAAACACGGGGGAGTTCAAATCCATGTAAGACATCACAGTGTCCCAGCCAAAGCCCCTGGGGTCAGTGTCCTGTACCAAACCCTGTGGAAGGGTATGGGGAGTGTGGCATGAGCCTGAGGCAGGTGAGTCTCACCCCACAGGAGCAGCTTCCGGTAGCTCTTCAGGTTCTCCTCAGCAGGGTCCAGGTGGCCCCACTCCCCCAGGTTCTGAGGATCCTCTGGAAAGGGCTTCAGCTTCTGAAATAGCAGTACAGCCATGGCTGAGACGTTCCACCTGCCCTAGAGAAGGGTGGACCCACCACAACCCCACAGCCACAGGAGTAGGCTAGAAGCCAGCCCCAGCCAGGGGCCCAACCCAGGTGCACTGCAGGAGGCAGCCCCCTTTGCACCCAAAGATTTCGCCCTCGAGCTCCCACCAGGGTGGGTTCTGGGCCACAGCCCTCTGCTGAGTACTGGTGACGGGGATGGGGATGCCGCTAAGCTGAGGCCAAGGCCCCTTACCCTTGGGCTCATGCTGACCCACCTGCTCGGCGTTGGCAGGGCTGGCTTCTTCAGTCCTTGCTTCCCCAACCCTCCTCTGTTCCAGAAACAGGGGGTCCGGAGAAAGCCAGGCTAGGGAGAATGAAAGGCAGAGCTGAAGCAATGAGCTCCCTGTGGCCAGGTGCCCCGAAAAGGGTCAAGGAGCCTCTGCTGCCTCCCACACAGGCCCCAGTGTACTTATGTGACAGCAGCACCCAAGGCTCCACAGACAGTGCATCTGTCCCTGATTTACAAAGCAGCATGGCCACAGGGCTTGGGTGGTCCCAGAAATGCCTGTTCAAGTCCCACTAGCTTCGTGGAAGTCTTTTTTTTTTTTTTTTTTTTAAATAAGATGGAGTTTTGCTCTTTTTGTCCAGGCCGGAATGCAACGGTGCCATCTTAAATCACGGCAACCTCTGCCTCCTGGGTTCAAGCGATTCTCTTGCCTTAGCCTCCCAAGTAGCTGGGACTACAGGCATGCTACACCACACCCAGCTAAATTCTGTATTTTTTAGTAGAGACAGGGTTTCACCATGTTGGTCAGGTTGGTTTCAAACTCCTGACCTCGTGATCTGTCCACCTTGGCCTCCCAATGTGCTGGGATTACAGGTGTGAGCCATCATGCCCAGCCTGGTTGGTTTTTTTAAAACAGGGTCTTGGTCTGTTGCAGGCTGGAGGGCAGTGGCATGATCTTGGATCCCTGCAATCTCCACTTCCTGAACTCAAGTGATCCTCCCACCTCAGCTTCCTGAGTAGCTAAGACTACAAGTGCACACCCAGCTAATTTTTGTATTGTTTGTAGAGACGGGGTCTCCCTATGTTGCCCAGGTTGGTCTCAAATACGTGGGCCCAAGTGATCTGCCTGCCTTGGCCTCCCAAAGTGCTGCGATTACAGGCATGAGCCACTGTGCCCAGCCTTTGTGGACATCTTAAAAGGCACCGCCACATAGTGCTGGCCTGTATGCGGGCCAGTGGGTGCCCCCTCACGCTGGTAACGAACAGCCACAAAACTTCTGGAAATCCATGACGCTTCTACTAAATGTGAAATGTCAAATTCATACGCCATTTGCCCAGTGGCCCTGAGGACCCCAGTCACAGTGACCAGAGCCCCACGTATGGGCATGTAAGTCAGGAGGTGTCATGGCAGCTTCACTCCAAGGGGCAGAGAGTCCACCTCTAGAATGGGGATGGGCTGAGCATGTGGATGCTGGGCAATTAAAGAGCCAGACCCAACTACAGCACCGCACTTGAACAGCAAGCACTCAAACACAGCACATCACACACAGGGAGCCCAACCCCAGGCTCTGAATGTGCATGTGTCATGTGCAGGCAGACATGAGGGAATGCGCACAAGGACACTTGAGACCCTTTATTTTTAGATGGTGCACGGTGGGGGGTTGGGAGACTCCTTTTTCTTCATGTATTGATGCTTTTTCACTATTTGTGTTAAGTATGGATGATCTGCATAATCTCTGAAGACTAACTGAATAAACAATGATATGTCTAACGTTCAGAGGAACTACAGGAGGAAGTGCCAATGACAGCATGGACCTGGGGGCCCCTGCCTCCCTGGGTGCCCTCCTGCCCTCTCCAAACCATAGGCCTCTGCCCACCACCCCACCTAAGGCCCAGCAGAGGCTGCCAGGGTGGCTGGGCACTCACGTGTCTCAGAAGGTGGTGGGATCTCCCCAGCTCCGGGCTCCTGGCTGGGGCTTGCGAGCTCGCCTGGTAGCAGCAGGGGGTCCATGTGCCTTTCATACACTCCATCGCTAAAAATCGAGGATGAGCCCGCAGGGGAGCCCAGCAGCATCCCTGTCAACAGTGAAGGGACCTGTGACCCCAAGAGGTCAGGACATGTGTCAACAACAATCACACAGTTAAACCACAGGGACCTGCAGGCTTCAGCGCCCCACCTCTACCAGTCCTGCACCTCATCCTTGGACCAGGAGATCTCCGGCCTGCTAAGTACCTAGAATATTTACTCAGTTAAGAGGCTGGTCCTTGCCCTTGAATGCCTTCCCTCATTCTTCCAGCTTCCTTACATCTAGAAGGCAGATGTGAAGGCAGGAACCCAAGCAACTGTCCTGGCCCCTGAGGCAATCCTGAGAGTGATGCCATTGGGTAGGGTGGTAGGGCCTGGCTCACTGAGGACCAAGAAGCTGCCTCACCAGTATGGGGAACTTGACTTATCTCAGGCAAGCCATGGCTGGAGCTTGGGCTTTCCAGGACGCCCTCCCCATCTCCCCTGAGCCTTGCTTCTCCTCTGGGGCAGCTCACCTGGCTCATCCAGAACATCAGCCAGGCCCTCTACCAGGGAGGCTGCCTTCTTGCAGCTCTCAGGGTACTGTGCCACGACCCAGGGCCGGACCTTATCAGGCAGGATGCCCAGGAACTGCTCCAGCACCAGCAGCTCCAGCATCTGCTCCTTGGAGCGTGCCTCAGGCATCAGCCACTGGCGGCACAGCTCATGCAGGCGGGCCAGGGTCTGGTGGGGCCCGGCAGCCTCCTGGTAGACAAATTCCCGGAAGCGCAGGCGGGAGAACTCCAGGTCAGCAGGGGTCCTCTCATGGATGGTCTCAGGTTCCTCCTGCTGGACTCCAGCTGCTAACCCCGGCGTGGGCAGATCCGGTGGGGTTGGTGAGCTCCGAGGGGAAGCAAACGCCTTCTCCAAAGGCAGCATCTTTCCAAAACTGCACTGGAAAATGCGACTGTGTCTAGCCAGGGACAAGGTGGCTCCAAAGGAGAGGTGTCAGCAATGACCAGATGCCCAAGGGGCTTAGGTGGTGCCAGAACCCACAGACCTGCAGAGGACACGGACAAGACAATAGCCTTGCATAAAGCCAGAACATAGCCACCCCAGCTGCAGGAGAACAAAGCCACCACACCCAGACTTCACACACAATTATTTCCAAGAAATCCACTTGTTAGGCATCAGCAGAACCACAGTGTGGAACCTGAGCAGATAAAAAGTGGCATCAAAGTGGAGGGTAACTCATTCTGTGCATTAGCAGAATTTTTTTTTTTTTTTGAGACTGAGTCTCCCACTGTCACCCAGGCTGGAGTGCAGTGGCTCAATCTCGGCTCAGTGTAACCTCTGCCTCTTGGGTTCAAGTGATTCTCCTGCTTTAGCCTCTCGAGTAGCTTGGGATTACAGTTGTGCACCACCACACCCAGCTAATTTTTGTATTTTTAGTAGACAGGGTTTCACTGTGTTGGTCACACTGGTCTCAAACTCCTGACCTCAAATGATCCACCTGCCTAAGCCTCCCAAAGTTTTGGGATTACAGGCAGGAGCCACTGTGCTCAGCACCATTACCAGGATTTTAAAAAATCAGTCACGAATAGGATGAAAATGAAAAATTACTTGACAATCTCTATAAAAACTTAGATGTAAAAACCTTAAAATATTAATAAACACATCCTAACCATGCATGCTTTATGCAACCTGCTGGATTTGTGTTTATCGCAGAAATGCAGGATCTGTTTACATTTAAAAGATACATTATGTGGGCTGGGTGTGGTGGTTCAAGCTTGTAATCCCAACACTTTGGGAGGCTGAGGTGGGCGGGTCACTTGAGGTCAGCAGTTTGAGACCAGCCTGGCCAACATGGTGAAATCCCGTCTCTACTAAGAAAACGAAAATTAGCCAGGAATGGTGGTGAATCCCTGTAATCCCAGCTTTTAGGGAGGCTGAGGCAGAACTGCTTGAACCCTGAGGCAGAGGTTGCAGTGAGCCAAGATCGCATCACTGTACTCCAGCCTGGACGACAAGATGAGATGGTCTCCAAAAAAAAAAGATATTAGTTCCTAATAACATGAAGGAACTAGGTGTCAAGATTGTTCCTCCAGTTAAAACCACAACCAATCTGAAATATAATTATTTAGAAAAAAGCATAGGGAGTGGAGGGCCCACTCCGGAGGCCAGTGGACAACCCCCATTTCTGAAAATGGTACAGATGGTGGGCCTCCGCCAAAGCATCCACAGAACCAGGTGGGAGGGGCAGGAAGTACCCAGGAGCAGGGACAATGGGGTGGAAATCACACTGACTGCGAGAGTTCAGGTCCTGCCAACCCGTGCCCCTCCCTCAGCTGAATCCCCACGTACAGGGCAGCCCCATCATTCAAGTGGAGCCAGAGTTCAGGATGAACTGTCTTGATTGTAATTTCGCACCAACGGTGAGCTCACTAAACAGAACCCAGCGGTCACAGCTGCCCAGGCCTCCACTCGGCCTCAGGCTCTGATGTCACTGGCTATGGACACAGAAAGGTGTGAGCTGCAGTTGTCCAGCTTCTCCCAAGATTCACCTGGGTCTGAAGGTCCAGAGCCAGCTGGGGGGGGGGACTTCCCACAGCTGCAGCCAGAATGTGTCTGAGCAAGCCCAGTTTTTTTTTGTTTGTTTGTTTTGTTTTGTTTTTTGAGACGGAGTTTCGCTCTTGTTACCCAGGCTGGAGTGCAATGGCGCGATCTCGGCTCACCGAAACCTCCACCTCCTGGGTTCAGGCAATTCTCCTGCCGCAGCCTCCCGAGTAGCTGGGATTACAGGCACGCGCCACCATGCCCAGCTAATTTTTTGTATTTTTAGTAGACACAGGGTTTTTTCACCATGTTGACCAGGATGGTCTCGATCTCTTGACCTTGTGATCCACCCGCCTCGGCCTCCCAAAGTGCTGGGATTATAGGCTTGAGCCACTGCGCCCAGCCTGCAAGCCCAGTTTTATAGGGAAAAACCATAGAGTAAACCACCCAAGGCCAGGTGCTGTGAGCTCTTCTCAGTTGCCAGGTTCTGCTCTGACTGTGCTACAACAGGATATGGGGTACAAAGACCTCACAGCTGTGGGGTGGGGTGTGTGATTCCACAGAAATGAAACATCCAGAACAGGCAAATCTAGATACAAAATGTAGATCAGCTGTTGCCAGGGCTGGGGTTTGGGGGAATGACAAGTGACTGCTAATGGGTACAGGATTTCTTCTTCGGGTGGCGAAAATGCTCGACTGAGTACTGCATATTAAAAACCAATCAACTGTCCACTTTAAATAGGTCAGCTTCATGGCATATAAATTACACTCAATAAACTGTTTAAAAACAAACAAACAAAAAAGGGCCAGGCACGGTGGCTCATGCCTGGAATCCTGGCACTGTGGAAGGCCAAGGCAGGCAGATCACCTGAGGTCAGGAGTTGGAGACCAGCCTGCCCAGCATGGTGAAACCCCCTCTATACTAAAAATACAAAAATTAGCTGGGTGTGGTAGTGGGCACCTGTAATTCCAGCTACTCAGGAGGCTGAGGCAGGAGGATCGCTTGAACCTGGGAGGTAGAGGCTGTAGTGAGGGAAGATCGTGCCACTGCTGCATTCCAGCCTGGGCAACAGAAAGAGACTCTATCTTGAAAACAAACAAAAACCCAAAAAACACCCCCCCCGAGGTTTGCAGATAATCAACTATCAGCCTCTCACTCTGTGGCTAGTAGTGTTTAAAGGAGGCGCCTGTGAATGCAGAACTCTTAGGTGCTGTTGTAAGACATTCTACACAAGCTTCACACACCTCAAGCAAAACAGACCCATATCATGCCATCATTGCCACCACCACACCTCTACCTTTTTTTAGAAAGGGAGTCTCACTCCCTGTTAGTAGAGATGCAGTTCCACCATGTTGGTCAGGTTGGTCTTGAACTCCTGACCACGTGATCCGCCTACCTCAGTCTCCCAAAGTGCTGGGATTACAGGCATGAGACACCGACCCAGCCACACCTGGCTAATTTTTAATTTTTTGTAGAGACAGGGATCTCACTATGTTGCCCAGGCTGGTCTGTAGCTTCTGGACTCAAAGGATCCACCTGCCTTGGCCTCCCAAAGCACTGGGATTACAGGCGAGAGCCCCTGCACCCAGCCCCACCCTTTTGCTACCTCATATGTCTGAGCTGTCAGCTGGCGCCTCCGGGAGGCTTTTCCTCTCCACTCCTTGTGCGCCCCCACCTGACACCTGCTCACTGCCTCCACCTTTTACTCGCCTACCGACTGCCGTCCCTACTAGAATGGGTACCCAGGAAAGCAGGGATTCTTCACAGGCAGGTCCCTGGGCCTGGGTAGAGTTGGCTCAGTGTGTGTAGATTGCACAAAACAGTGCAGTTCTGTTGAGGGGTGTGCTGGCTGTACCTCATTTGTTTTTGGCTGCTGTGGACCCTCATGTCCATCTCTGTAGAGTCCTTTCTGATCTACCTAAAGGACATATGGAGAAGCAAGATAGGTAGGGCACAGGGGACAATCTGACAACCGTCACCTACTTACGGCAGCCCCCACCAGGGTGCTCTCTCCTCACACACTCCACCCCCTGCCAGAGACCCTTAGACCCGAGCATCTGCCCGTTGTGTGGCTGAGCGCTTTTTCATGCTTTAATTTCTAAGAGTGGGTAAACTGCCCAATCTCTGGTGACTTTTTATTTTATTTTTTAAAAATAAAGATACGGTTTCACCATGTTGGCCAAGCTGGTCTTGAACTCCTGACCTCAGGTGATCCACCCAACTCAGCCTCCCAAAGTGCTAGGATTACAGGCGTGAGCCACTGCACTCGGCTTTTTTTTTTTTTTTTTAAAGAAGGGGTTTCACCCTGTGGGTCGGTCTGGTCTTGAACTCCCGACCTCAGGTGATCCGCCCACCTTGGCCTCCAAAGTGCTTGGATTACAGGTGTGAGCCACATTGCCCGGTCTTTTTTTTTTTTTTCTTTTTTTGACTTTTTCTTTACAGCTGTTTCTGTGAACTAGTTAACGAGTTCCCTCATCTGGCTCTATCTTGCCACTGTCCCTATCTGTGCCTTGTCTTTTCACTCCATGCTGTCCTCTGGTCACAGGCAATGTCCTAATGTTTCTTACTATCTAATGTAACCCTTTTTTTGGAGATAGTCTGGCCCTGTTACCCAGCTGGAGTACAGTGGCAGAATGTTGGCTCACTGAAACCTCTGTCTCCTGGGTTTGAGTGATTCTCCTGCCTCAGTCTCCTGAGTCACTGGGATTACAGGCACCTGACACCACGCCCAGCTATTTTTTGTATTTTTAGTAGAGATGGGGTTTCACCATGTTGGCCAGGCTGGTCTCGAACTGCTGACCTCAAGTGATCCACCTGCCTCGGCCTCCCAAAGTGCCAGGATTACAGCATGAGCCACTGCATCCAGCCTTCAACCGTTTTTTAAACTGAACTTCTGAGTTCAGAAACCCACTTAAAAAGGGTTTCTTACCCTCAGGATTAGAAATACGTATTCTTGTTTATCCTCCTAGGATAGAGGGTAGCAGATTAAAAAAGCCAGACAGTCTCAGTTTCAACTACTCAACTCTTTCTTGTGGCAAGTAGGCAGCCAGAGCCCTGTGTGTACCCACAGGTTTGGCATGTTCTTACACAACCTCATTGACAAAAACAGGTGGCTGGGCATGGTGGCTCACACCTGTTATCCCTGCACTTTGGGAGGCCAAAGTCGGGGGACAGTTTGAGCTCAGGAGCTCAAGATAGCCTGGGCAACACGCCAAAACCTTGTCTCTACAAAAAATACAAAAACTAGCTGGGCACAGTAGTGTGTGCCTGTGGTCCCAGCTTCTCTGTAGAATGAGGTGGGAGGATCACCTGAATCCAGAAGATCAAGGCTACAGTGAGCTGTGATCACAATACTGTATTGCAGCGTGGGTGACAGAGAGAGACCCTGTCTCAAAAAAAAAAAAAAAAATTAGCCAGGCATGGTGGCATACACTTATGGTCCCAGCTACATGGGAAGCTAAGGTGGGAGGACCCCTTGATCCCAGGAGTTGGAGGCTGCAGTG